GGTGAAAGAAGGTGGGTACTAATCAGCCGTGACTGATTAGTTTTTCAAGAACAATCTAAAACACGACTTAATCAGTTAATAAATAACTTTTTTCCCGTTTCATATTGTTTCTGAACTCTTACTGCTTTACTACAGTGCAACACGTCGATCGCGAAAGGTTTTGAGTCGATCTCGGCATCAGGTGACAAACTGAACGCCGCCAGGACGCTGAGTCCAGCACGTCCTCTGACTGGCTTAAAACGTTCGTTACTTTATTAAAGAACAAACAAACAAACAAAAAAATCATCCAAACGTGTTGAAATTAATGACCCAACAACAATAATAATCTCAGTGATAATTGTTTCAACAAGGTGTTGCGGAATTCTGTGCGTTACGGTTCCATTACCTAAATAACTAGCAGAGCAGGATTTTAAAATTAACTAATCAACCACCGCTGTATTCAGGGAGCGCTTATTAATGATCACAAAATAAATATCAAGCCTGAAAACCTGATATCGTAACGGACTGAATGTTATGTTTTTAACGTAATCTCTGGTCTGTTTGTGGAGCGCAGGAGGTTGCCATGGGAACGGGTGTGACGGAGAATAAAAATGTGCGAGTGGTTTAGAGTTGATCACCTGTTCAAGTTGTTTTACCTCATTACAGCCGCTGTAATTTCTGAACGTTCAATAAACGACAAACTTGGACTAATTATCTTGTTAGTCTGTGAGTATACGTCATTCACAACAAACATCAAACACGGCAAATATGTTTCATTACCAATGGCTTCTACCGCGATAATTATGTGAAATTAAATTAATTGTCTAATATAAAAATAGTTTGGTGTTGTCGGGCTCAGAGTCTGAGAGGCTTTTCCTTTATCAAACAAATTTTTTTTGCCTTTTATTTAGTGGAAATATTGATGTTGATGAGACGTTCTCCAAAATGATAACCTTTTTCAGCCTTAATAGCTCCACTGTTGAAAATGAGGCTCTATCATTCCCAAATGACAGTGAAATAAAATCCAGTCCACCATCTGGTTTGAGGTGATTCCTCTGGAACCTGTTGGAGGAAAAATATCCCAACTTCAGAAGATTTGCTTTAACCTAACAGAGCTCTGTGGTTCCTCCTGTCAGTATGAGAGTCGGGATGAGGAGGCGCCATGTTAGGAAGATGAAGTGGAAGCTGCAGGATCTTCAGAACAAACAGGTCATGATGCTAGGCTACTGATTTGTTTGGACACATAATCAATATAACCAGTTTAAAAGCTAAAATGAATGTTTATATGCCAGACATGGAAAACTGGGATGCACTCCATGCCATGATGTTCAGGATTTAGGTCTCATGGCATCTCAAGGTGTCAACATTGCCGCCAATGGGCTGAAGGAAACATGGCTCCATTTTGTAGCAATGCAAGAGCTACCCAGCTTTTATCGCTTCGGAAACCCATTTTGGCTGCTTGTATCCGTGATTTTCGGTCATGACCCAAAGATCATGACCATAGATGAAGGTGGGAACGTAGATCGACCGGTAAATCGAGAGCTTTGCTTTTTGACTCAGCTCTCTCTTCACCACGACGGACCGGTACAGCGCCCGTTTCACGGCAGACGCTGCCCCAATCCGCCTGTCGATCTCCCGCTCCCTCCTTCCCCCATTCGTGAACAAGATCCCCAGATACTTAAACTCCTCCACTTGAGGCAGGACGACACCCCCCTGCCCCGGAGAAGGCACTCTGCCCTTTTCCGGCTCAAGACCATGGCCTCGGATTTGGAGGCACTGATCCTCATCCCGGCTGCTTCACACTCGGCTGCGAACCGCTCCAGCGAGAGCTGCAGATCACAATCTGATGAAGCCAACAGGACCACATCATCCACAAAAAGCAGAGATGCGATCCTAAGGCCACCAAAACGGATCCCCTCAACACCTCGGCTGCGCCTAGAAATTCTGTCCATGAAAGTAATGAACAGAATCGGTGACAAAGGGCAGCCTTGGCGGAGTCCAACTCTCACCGGAAACGAGCCCGACTTACTGCCGGCAATGCGGACCAGACTCTGACACCGGTCATACAGGGACCTGACAGCCAGTATCAAAGGGCCCTGTACCCTATACTCCCGGAGAACCCCCCACAAGGCCCCCCTGGGGACACGGTCGAACGCCTTCTCCAAGTCCACAAAACACATGTAGACTGGTTGGACAAACTCCCATGCCCCCTCCAGGACCCTGCTGAGGGTGTAGAGCTGGTCTAGGACCACGACCAGGACGAAAACCACACTGTCTTCCTGAATCCGAGGTTCGACTCTCCGACGGACCCTCCTCTCCAATAAAATGTAAATGTACATTTAGCGACATTTGTTAGCTAATAAATGTATGTTTAGCCAAATTAATTAGCTTAGACAAACATGGTGTCTTCTATGATGGAAAACAGTCCTCTGAGACTGCAGTGTGACATAGTAACTGTTGTCAACAGTAGTGTCATTGTGGGGCTGATTCTCTGTTTGAATCTGTCCTGGCCAGGTGTGCTGCTGCGGCTGCCCAGTGGTCCACTATGGCCCAGAACCAGGTGATCCTGCAGTTCCGATTCGCCACGTTTGGGGACTCCATGCTGCAGAAGATGAACCTTCTCCGACACCAGAGACGCTTCTGCGACGTCGTCGTTCGCATCAACCAGCTGGAGGTCCCCGGCCATAAAGTGGTGTTTGCTGCCGGCTCGTCTTTCCTGAGAGACCAGTTCATCCTGCAGCAGGACTCCAGGGAGGTCCAGATCTCCATGATTCAGGAGGCGGAAGTTGGCCGGCAGCTGCTGCTCTCCTGCTACACCGGCCAGCTGGAGTTTCCTGAGCTGGAGCTCGTGCATTACCTGACGGTGGCCAGCTTCCTCCAAATGGGCCACATCGTGGAGCAGTGCACCCAAGCCCTCAACAAGTTCATCAAACCTCAGGCCTCACGCCAGCTGGAGGTGGATCTGGACCTGCGGAGGGAAAAGGGAGACGAGGGTCCGTCCTCCCAGGCTCAAAGGGAGCAGGAGCGGTCTCAGGTGCGGATTGTACCTGAGGGAGAGGAGGAGGA